GATTCCTCAGCACCACATAAGCAAAAAGAAAAAAGCTGGGGGGCTGGGAAGGTGGCTCAGTGGTAGAGCGCTTGCCTTGCATGCCTGAGGCCCTGGGTTCAATTCCCAGCACCACATAAGCAAAAAGAAAAAGCCGGAAGTGACGCTGTGTCTCAAGTGGTAGAGTGCTAGCCTTGAGCTGAAGAGCTGAGGGACAGCACCCAGGCCCAGAGTTCAGGCCCCACGACCGGACCCAAAAAAAAAAAAAAAAAAAAAGCTGGAAGTGGCGTTGTGGCTCAAGTGGTAGAGCACTAGCCTTGAGTTGAAGAGCTGAGGGACAGCGCTCAGGCCCAGAGTTCAGGCCCCATGACTGGACCCCTCCAAAAAATATATTTTTTTTTCTCTAATAAACAAGGCTATCCAATCTAAAGACCTAAAGTAGAGAGTTGATCAAATTTAACAGGTAACAAAGCTTATATTTTACTTCCCCCACCCCATTAAAGCAAAAATGAATAAGAGGAATTCAAATTTATAACCTCAACAACCAGTTTAATATCAAAACTTCATAAAAAGTGATGGGAATTCTCTGAGAAAACATTTGTAAGCATTTTATAAAGTCAAACATAACTGTTATATAAATAAACAGGTTAACTAAAGTAAGCAACTGATGTCTCCACTAATTCTACCAAGCACTTCATGGCCTGCATTAAACATGACAATTTACATGAGGTTTTGTATGTGATTCAACTCTGGAGACATAACTCACTGAAATACGTTAATGTCCTAAAACACTCCTTCCATCATGTAAGCTCTGAATAAGTTTAAAAGAACAGCCTGTGGGTAACACTGTAGAATTTGGAGCTAGATTTTATTGTCTCTAACAAGCTGCACCAGCTATAAAGTAACAAATCAAAATTCCAATAAGCACACTGCACCTGAAAGACTTAGGTATGCTCCAAGTCAAATATTTGCATTTTTCAATCCCAAATCTGCACAAATGAAAGAACAGCAGTAGATCTCTAAATCTTGTCGTAAGCTGAAATGATCCTCATTCTAGTTTCACTCTGACATGTCCCATATCCTATCATTTTTGAGATCCTAATATGAACATACAACAGGAATTAACTGTGCTAGTTGCTTGTATATATTACCTTTAATCTTCATAACAACTCCCATTCTGCCAATGAGGAAACTGAGGCCAGAGAGGTCAAGGTGACTTGTTCAATGCCAGAAAGCCAGTTAATGGAGCTGGAATGCAAACCTGGTTTGCCTGGCTTCAAAGAACTGTTTCCCTTTAGTTAAAGTCACTAACAATACCAGTTCACCTCTATCAAAGTTAATTCAAGTGACAACTGTCTGAAAGAGCTGAGAAAAACATCATACCTAAACAGCAGTATGAGAGCCACAAGCTGCCACAGAAGATGTAGCTACTTGTTTCAGAACTATTCCCAAAGGCTATTGGTTTAAAATACAAAACAATCCCTTCCCTTCCTCCCTCTATTCCTTCTTCTTTTCTTTATTTATTTGTTTCCTTTGGCTGTCTCACAATAGACTCTTTACAACAAGGGAAATGAAACTCAAGAGAATATTCAATATTCACATGGGGGGGATTTTAAAACCCTTGATAAAGTTTTTTTTTTTTTTAACAGTTCGCATTATAGTTTCTCTGATACCTTCCGACGTTCAAAAACAAAATCATATCCATATCTCTAATTATCTTTTGCTTTTACAGACTTGAAAAAATATTTTCTTACCACACTACAAGCCTACTTCCCATATTTAAGAGCCGAAATGGAAACAGCTCTAGTGTCACGAATCAGATCTGGAGGCCAGAGATGAGAACAGTAGGTGCTGCTTCCCGAGTGAGAGCTGCTGCTCTGAACTTCCTGAGGGAAGGGTGTCTGAAGAACAGTGCTGAAGGAGCTGAAGCAAGCCGTTGGCATGAATGGGGGTGAGTTGCTGGCACTGCTGCTGCTTAAATGTCTCACAGCTTTGCAATTGTTTTCCAGCTCCCAAGCTCTGAAGCTGGCAGGGAGAGAAAGCCATTCTCACTGTCATAGGTGTTACATGATCAGCTGCTCTATGGGGTGTGGGTGTTTAACTAGGTAAGTGACTGGTTAGAAGTTCCACAAAACTAAACTAAGGAAGCACATGGTTATTTTTTGTGACCTGCCCCTAAGACTACCTTGACAAGGAAAAGTAACATATTTGCAACTTTGCAACTTTGAAATGGTTTGGATTTAGGACAGGCAAATAATTTCAGATAGTAAAACTTCAGGTGTGACATGAACAACAAAAAAATGTAGCTTGTAATATAAACCACTTCAAGCATGTATATTAGGTAATAAAAATGCAATATATGCAACCTCAGCATGCTTTCAAACTTCATACAGTACACCGCATAATTAGAATAAATACTACTCTCCAGGTGTATGGAACAGATTCCAAGATTCCAAGCCTCCCTTGTATCCCAAAATGCTAGTTAATATCGTGAGTTTCTTACTGGCTCATAACCTGAAAAGGGGGGGAGGGAGGGAGGAAGACAAAAAGTTTTTGTTTTTTTTTTTAAAGAAAGAAAACTGACTTCAAGAAATTCCTTAAATGAAAATATGGCCAAGATTGACAGCTCTTGAAGCTGGGGGCTGCACTTATTTAATATTACTGCCCTTCACAACACTACCACCAGCAGGGCTAAATGTTCCCTGATTGAAATATGACCAAAAGACAAAAGCTGGGTGCACAGTAACTTAAAAATAACTGACATTTATCACCTGCTTATTGATAGAATGGTGCAAAGTTCATTCCTAGCTCTAGAGTCTAAATGTGATTGAATTCCCTAATTATGATTAAAATCTTCCTAGTAAATCAAAGTTCTAAAATGGATGATTTTGGCAGTGCCATCACTCTTAATAAAGAAATGTGGCATCATAGCAAAGTTAAAAGATAAACTCATCATGAAACAGGTGTGCTATCTACTATGGGAATGATAAAGTCTTCTTTTAAGAGAGCAGATCAACTTCAACCAACACATAAAGATTCTATACAAGCATTATAAAAAGACCACAGACTTCCCTGTTGAAATTTGCTGCATTTAAAATATACCAGGAACATCAGTTATTAAATTTAAACAAATTATTTTGTCTCCAGCTTAAACTTTTTCTGAAAGACTCCTATAACATCTCCTTTTTTCAGGAAGATGGGGAAAGGATACCTTGTAAATACCCAGCTCACTGTAAATCAAAGAACAACACAATGATACATACACATGCTACTTGGTTGTTTATTGCTTAGGGCTAAAGTAATCCTCAAGAAGAAAAAAAAAACAGAACAAAACACAAAACTCAAGTTCCTTTCACTTTTGCAGAATATTAAGCTTATCCTGAGATCCCAGGACAAGTTTCAAGACGATAGCTGAATACAAAATTATGAATTTGTTTCACTGAGAAGAGGGCCCTGAAAGCTCCCACGGCCCCAAAGAAAGGTTAAGAAGGAGCAAAGGAAACATATCTAGGATCGCTACAATTGAGCAGTGACCTTTTAAACAAAATTATACTAAAGGCAGCATCTATCTGAATACTTGTGCACAGTGGTGATGCAAATAAGCAAGCTACTTGCCAGCACCGACAATCTCACAGAGAACATCACCTGCCTTCTGCACATAGCAGAACAGTTTTCCTTTCCCAACTACACACACGTTGTCAACAAAGCATGTGCTCCTTTATTATTCCCAGAACAATACCAGCCAGGCCATCCTTTGCAAAAAAAAAAAAAAAAGGACAGAGACCTTCATCCAAAATATTAACCTATTTGTATACTATGTTTGACCATAGATTAAACATCACAACCCAAAGGATGAAATTCCTGCATGCCATATGTATCCAATTGGGGGGGAGAAGCATCACTCAGGTGTTGCTGAGGGTCTGCTGGATAAACACAGAAGGGAAATATGATAGTGATGGTTGAGCATAGGGACAATCTAGGCGCAATCAAAACCAGACTTAGGCAGGAACATTTCAATAACATGGTTGTAAAGCCAGACTTAGGCAGGAACATTTCTATAACATGGTTGGTTGTGCAAAGCACCCTCCTCCACAGGCAAAGGCACATTCCTTTGATTGGCACAAGCCATTTATTTCTGACAATGGATCTGAGATGACAGGGGCTGCTTGGCAATCAGGAAGTGTGTGTTTGCTGGGGGGGGGTGTGAGGGGGGGGAAGAGGAGGAATTGTGATCACTAGATTGTGATCAAAGACTGGCCTGCTTTGAAGAAGAGCATATGGTAATCTTAAATCCTGAAGACTGACTTCGAGGTGAGGCCCAGCAGTTATCATTTCTACAGGAGACATCCCTCAACAATGAACAAGTCAAGTGGCGATGTCACGGGGCGGGGGGGGGGGGGGGGGGTCCACTACCTTTAGTATCTTCTATCTGCGACTCTTCGGCAGAGCCTGATTGGAGGGGAGGAGGCGGCGGGGGTGGAGAAAGGTCCGTATCACCCACTGGGGTGAGTGCGGGGCTGCTGGTGGCGGGTATACAACAGATGCATGTTATCTCCCGGTGGCACAATACTCCCGGGGGCTGGAGGTTTGGGCGCCACCGGAGGGCGGGGGAGGCAGTGGGTTGCAGGACCGGATCCTGTACGCTCGCCGCCGCCGGAGGACCGGTGCAAACCTTCCCTCTGGCCCGCTAACCCGGGCCACCCCAGCCTCCCCCTCAGGCCTCGAGGCGAGCGGACTCGCTGCGAAACTGCAGCCGAGCCGGGGTCCCGGAGGGGGGGAGGGCGCCCAAGGGCAGGAGCGACGCACTCCCAGCCCCAGCTCGGCGCCGGGAGAGCGGAGCGCCCGGGGGGCCTCCCCGCCGGATGGGGGCTCCTCCGGCCTAGTGCACGCAGCTGCTTCGGCGCGGGCTGAGCCGGCCCCCGGGAGCCCGGCCCTGCGCCGCGGGCGGCGGAGAGGAAGGGCTGCTGCCGGGGGCGCCGCCGCGGCGGTGGCGAGTGCGCGGGGAGGGGGCCCCTACTCACCCGGGCCGACCGCCTCCGCCTCCGCCGCCCCGACCGCCGCCTCGGCGGTCCATCCCAGCGGCGGGGGGCCTGCAGCCGCGGCGCTCGAGTAACCACCGCCGGCCGCCCGGCCGGGCCCCTCCCCCTGACCAACGTCTAGGCTCCGGGCCGCTCCTCAGACCCGGCCTCGGCCGCCGCCGCCGCCGCCGCCGTCGCCGCAGCGCTACGTGGCCGCCGCTCCGACGTCTCGCGACTCCCTTCAGAGCGCGCGAGGGCGAGCGGGGCCGCGGGGCGGGCAGCAGGGGAGGGGAGGGGGTGTGCGTGTGTGCGTGTGTGTGTGAGTGTGTGAATGTGAGAGTGAGGGGGTAGGGAAGGAGGCGGGAACGCGCGCGCGCGCTCCCGCTCACAGAACACCCCCCCCCACAACACACACTCAGCTAGGATCCCGACACCTCCCTCCGCCGCACCCCCCCATCCCAGCCTCTGGGAGCGGCGCGCATGCGCAGCCCTCGACTCGGCCCGGACGCACCTTTTCTCCCTCCCGCCTCATTGTAAGCGTACAGCCGCGCAGATAACCGCCGACTCGCTGCTCCACCCCCGCCCTCGCCCACTCCACCCACTCCCTAGCGCCCAGGTAAAGGCGTCGGTTGCGCAGGCGCGCTGGCCCCCTTGGATGGGGGGGGGGGCGGGGGCGTGGTTGCTGAAAGGAAGGCCAAATGTAGGATAGGAGGTTGTGGGCAGAGGATGTGGGATTCCACGAAATGGGAGGGATGGGGGGGGGGAGGGGGGCGGGGGAGTGGGTAGCATTTAGGAAAGGTGAAAATGAAGAAAAGGAAAAGGAAAGAAAGTAGAAAAGTGGGCCGAAGTGATATTTGTAAATAAAAGAGCCTTTTTATTTTTGGCTTAATCTTTGGAATAAATTCAAAAATCTTGACTGCTGACTGCTTTGTTACTGAAAGGCAGTGACAGAAGACAAATAAAAGAGGAGAGACAAACCATAGTGGTCATTTACTAGATGAATGGGCCGTCTAATAAAAACTAGGGCAATTTAGATAGCCAAGGTGGTCAGAAAAACAAACTTAGAGCCACACTTGTCTTGTGGCCAGGTTAGGAGGTTGGGGGGGGAGGGCGGAGGAGGACGGGAAGGGGGCAAAGATCCAGAGCTACTACAAGAAAGGAAAGCTCCATTAAGTATTACAGCATTATGACTAATTAACTATTAATCATTAATATAATTAATGGTATTGTTAGCTAACAAGGTAGCACTTATCCAAGTTCAGAGCCAAGGGAGAGTGTCTGCAATTGAAAGTACTTAGGGTACAGGGAGAGGATATGACTTGGCAAGGTGAAGGCCCAGGGTGGAGAAGACCCAAGGTCAGGATGATTACCCCCCCACACACCATAAACCAAGCTTCCCCGAGGTTATCAAGCCTTAGTATAAACTGGAACTCCTTTCATTGTTAAAAGCCGCCCTTGCCAACTCTGGTGGGTCATATCTGTAATCCTAGCTACTCAGGAGGCTGAGGGTTGGGGTTCAAAGCCAGCCAGAGTAGGAAAGTCTGTGAGACTCTTATCTCCAATTAACCAGCAAAAGGCCTGAAGTGAAGCAGTGGCTCAAATGGTAGAGTCCTAGCCTTGAGCACAAAAGCTCAGAGATAGCACCCAGGCCCTGAGTTCAAGCCTCAGGACTTATTACATTACAGCTGACCTCAACAGTATATGATAATTTTCAAAACAGATACAGCTACCCACAGCTGCAAAACAGCAACAATAAAAAAAACCTCTATTATTTTATTCCTTTTATTTAAAAAAAGGTCAGAAAAATTAGGCATCTCTTACATGTCCAAGCTTTGGTACAGAGTATGATGTGACAAACTCAATTTGGAGGAATGATTGTCAAGGATATTTGAAAGGTTACATTCAACAAAACTAAAAATTCCTAATGGACCATCCTAGGTTTAAAATGTTGCAAGTGGTCTGGGAAGGTGGCTCAGTGGTAGAGCGCTTGCCTTGCATGCATGAGGCCCTGGGTTCGATTCCTCAGCACCACATAAGCAAAAACAAAAAAGCCAGAAGTGGCGCTGTGGCTCAAGTGGTAGAGCGCTAGCCTTGAGCTGAAGAGCTGAGGGACTGTGCCCAGGCCCAGAGTTCAGGCCCCATGACCAGACCCAAAACAAAACAAAACAAAAAAATGTTTCAAGTATCCCAAACTGATTCTTCCTCTTTGCCTTGACTCATATCCTGAACTTTATATATTGGGGAGGGTGTGGGAGGGACACATTTCATAGACAAAATACATCATAGTATCTTTAGAGAATTTCATTATCTGAACAGAGAACAAAGAGACTTCCAGGAACCGGCTGTAGCCAGTTTGAGCCAGGTGGATCTTTTGAGCCAGGTGGATCCGGTTTGAACTGGATTGAACTGGTATGAACCAGAATGAGCTGGATTGAACCGGATCGAGCCAGATTGAACTGAATGCTAAGTGCCTGGTTGCTCCTCAATACGACTCATTTACTAATGAAACCAAAAAAAAAAAGCCCTGAAATTTTTTAAGTTTTAAAGTTCATCTGAGTTCCTGAATTTATTAACTCAATCAAAAATGAATGTTTATATTGATTCTTGGTTTACTCATCGAAGTACAGCTTAAGGCATTCAACAGAATGTCTCCTGTGTATACAAGGGAAGGGTTTCTTGGAGCAAGTAGTTAATTAGAAGGCCCCGAAAAATGCTTCAGAGGAACAGCAGAAATTTAGATCAAGTCTTTCTGATTGGTTTGTTTGGACTTGATGGTGGAAACTCATCCCAGGGTTGTAGTACTAGGCAAGTGTTCTAATACTGAACTGCCTACAGTTTGCCTACAGTTTAGATTTGAAATTTCCGTCATAGTTCATGAAAAGTGCTAGAACCTTTAGAGGTAGACAGGGTGGGGGAGGTCTTTATGTCATTAGCAGAAAGTTCTTGAAGGGGGCTGGGGAGGTGGCTCAGTGGTAGAGCGCTTGCCTTGCATGCCTGAGGCCCTGGGTTCGATTCCTCAGCACCACATAAGCAAAAACAAAAAAGCCAGAAGTGGCGCTGTGGCTGAAGTGGTAGAGTGCTAGCCTCGAACTGAAGAGCTGAGGGACAGCGCCCAGGCCCAGAGTTCAGGCCCCATGACCCCCCCCAAAAAGAAAGTTCTTGAAGGGGAGAGTAAGTTCATGGCGAGATTTTCTCCCTCCCTCTTGCTTCCTGGTGGTGAACTGAGGATATTTACATGGCCATCATTTTCCTTCCATCATGTTCTGCCTCAGAAAGGAACTTCCAAATCTTTGAGCCAAACAACTCTTCTATTTAAGCCTTGAATGTCATTTGTGAGAGTGATGGGCAGTTCACACAGGCACTCTGTGCTTACCATGTCCTGAAATCCTGCCCACACCTGTCGTACTGAAAGCTGCCCCTCCCTTAAGCTGTGCAGCCACCCGGTACCTTCTTACCCTGCCTAATAGGAAAATATTTACCTTCAGTAAAAATTATATGTTTATTGAGAATCTGCAACATGTCAAACATCATACAATTTAAAAACAAGTGAAACTGAACTATTTTTTTTTTTTCCCATGCCTGGGTTTGAGTTTGAGGACCCACTCTTATTTAGCTGGTACACACTCATCACTTGAGCTGTGCCTGTACATGGGGCTTCTGCTGGTTATGAAGCCAGATCGAACTAGATTGAACCAGATTGAGCCAGATAGAACCAGATCGAGCCGGATTGAACTAGATTCTACCAATTTTAAACTGATCGAGGGGATCAAACCAGATTGAGCCGGATTTTACTGGGTTGAACAGGATCTAACAGGATTGAGCCGGGTCTGACCGGTTTGAACTGGATCCAACCAGTTCCAACCGGCTCGCGCCGGTTTGAGCCAGCTGGATCCGGTTTGAACTGGTATGAACCAGATTCAGCTGGATTGAACCGGATTGAACCGGATTTGACGAGGTTGAACTAGATCCAACCAGTTCCAACCGGCTCGCGCCGGTTTGAGCCAGCCAGATCCGGTTTAAACTGGCATGAACCAGATTCAGCTGGATTGAACCAGATCTGACCACTTTGAACTGGATCCAACTGGTTGCCGCCGGTTTGAGCCAGCCGGATCTGGTTTGAACCGGCATGAACCAGATTAGGCCGTATTGAACCGGATCCAAACAGCTTGCACTGGTTTGAGCCAGCCGGATACAGTTTGAACTGGTATGAGCCAGATCAGGCCGGATTGAACCGGATCTGACTGGTTGGAAAGAATCTGGTTTGAACCAGATTAAACAGGTATGAACCAGATCGAGCTGGATTGAACTGGTATGAACCGCATCGAGCTGGATTGAACGGGTATGAACCGGTTCATGCCAGATTGAATCAGACCGAGCTGGATTGAACCGGATAGAGCCTAATCTGACCATTTTGAACCGGATCTAACCAGTTTCGACCGGATCGAGCCAGATGGAACTGGATTGAACCGGTAAAAGAATCGAGCTGTTTTGAACCAGATCAAACCAGTTTGAGCTGGTTCAAACTGGTTTGGGGTTGGATGGAACAGGTTTGAACCGGATCCAGCTAGTTTGAACCGGATCTAGCTGGAACCCGTTTGAACTAGCTCGGGCCGATTCCAGCCAGGCGGATCCAGTTTGAACCGGATTGAACTGGTATGAACCAGTTCGACCCGTATTGAACTCATATGAACCGGTTCGAGCCGGATCTAATGGGATTGAGCCGGGTCTGACCGGTTTGAATCGGATCCAACCAGTTTCAAATGGATCGAACCAGTTTGAGCCACATGGAACCGGATTGAACCGGTAAGAGAATCGGGCTACTTTGAACCAGATCGAACTGGTTTGAGCCGGGTCAAACTGGTTTGGGGTTGGATGGAACCGGTTTGATCGAACCGGTTTGGAGTTGGATGGAACTGGTTTGAATAGGATTGAGCTGGATTGAGTCAGACTGAGCAGGATTGGTCCATACTGAGCCAGATTGTGCTGGATTCATCTTGGCTGAATCAGATGGAACCAGACGGAGCCAGATTGAGCTAGATTGAGCCAGACTGAGCTGGATTGAGCCAGACTGAAACAGATTGAGCTGGTTTCTATTTTATCCACATCAATGATTAAGTTCTAACATGCATTATGATTTTCTTATTCTGTCTATTGTCCTAGTGGAATGTAGGATATGATGGTCAAAGAAGTGTTTACAGTACCCAGGC